TTTTTTTTAACTTTCCACCATTATCTACTTTTATTCTAAGCGGTTCAAATGTTATTAGATGTTAGAAAAATCGTAGTTTAAAAAAATATATTCAATTAAATTATTTACAAAAAATTAAGGAAAAAAGATTATTAGAGAAAAAATGTTATTTTTTTTATTAAGAAGACATTTGTTGTTCCACTATGTGTTGTTCCAAATCAATATGTTTTTTTGTAATAACTATAATAAAAGGAAGCAATCAAATATGAGTAGTCTTTGAATTGGAACCAATTTTATTCCAATAAACGTAAATATTTTGAAGAATGTTTGATACTTACTTAGGTAAATAATCGATTATAGTGATTGATCAAAATTTGAATGTTTTTATTTGCGAAACGAATGTATGTACTACCATTCCAAAAATAAATTCACATTTGTTAAATCACAATCGCTGACCGCTTCACAAATTCGGTGAAAATAAGTCAATAAATAAATAATTGACTAAAATGTGTCAAAATGTACAATATTTTTTCTATTGATTTAATTAATCTGTGCATTTTATGTCATATCCATAAGAAAGGTGATTGGATTTATAATTAATTGATAGGTGTCAGAATAAAATTTATAAGATGTAATTAGCAAGTTAACGTCTGAATTTAGTCGAGTTGCGTCATACAAATTAACTAAATTTACCTATTTTCTTCTTTTACCATTTGGTTTTATTAAAGTGTACATAGCGTATATACATATACAAATAATGATAAAGAAATAACAATAAAGTTGTACGTTAATGGTCACATGCTCGGAATCACATCTATACTGCCGACGATTTCGTATAAATATGGTAAAAATCACACTTTTCAATCATTCGGTCTTGAGATATTCAAGTGAACAACACAACATTGATACATTGGATATTCAAATCAGGAATTTGTAAAATTAAAAAAGAAAAAATATTTTACAGTCAACGCAATCAGGAGAAGATTATTTTTAAAAATTCTACACCGAGAATTTTTCCGAATTTATTTTTTAAAACTTCAACTAAACATGGAAATTATGGTATGTATACCACTTCGCAATTGTATTTATCAAATCATTTCACAATTCTATTTTTTTGCAGAAATACCAAATGGCTTCAAAAATTATTTTCGTGTTATTAACAAGCATAATTATGAGGGTTTGTTCAAGAATTTTACCTGAATCGTCTTCGGTTGATATTGTTTTCATTGCACCAGCCGAACATCAAGTGAACTTTTTACCATTTACTGGGAATTTCGATGCAGTACACACAAATTCACACAATCGTCAAAAGCGTGCAGCATACGATCCTTATGATGCATATTATTTCTACCCGAAGAGCCTGAATCAACAACGACCATCGACATATGATCGTCCAGATGCCGATGATTCATTCATCAACCGACGTGATACCGATGATTCGAATCGTATTGAAGGAAAAAATGTACAAAAATATAAATATACTCCGTTGTTTCAATACAAATCAACTCAATCACGGCGCCGAAAATTGTTTGTTCCAAATTTGTTCGGTTAGGACCCATCCTTATTTCCCAAAATAACAAATAATCAGTGAATTTCAAAAAAACAGAAGCATCGTTAATATTTTCTGAGTAAACAAAAAACATATGAAAATTTGTGAAAGTTCATCGCAAATTTAGCGTGATGTTTTGTTTGTTAAATTTGTGATAGTTAATAATTGGCCTTCAATTACGTTATTTGTACGAGAAAATCTATTTTACTATTACTTATTACATATAGACTAAGATTGCATTGTATAAACCCATTTCAAATTTTTAAACGATTCATCCCATTTATTTAAATTTAATAAAGAATTAATACAAAAAAAAAACTGCTGAAATCTTTTGAGAAAAGCAAAACTTCTTAAAAGTTAAGAAAATCAACATTTCGATCTTTCAGCTCTTCTTATTAGATACATATGTGAATAAAGTCACAAGTAGTGGCGATTATTTGACTTCGATTGTATGGAATTTTGGTCGCTACGCACATATCTATGGAAAATGTAGTACAATAAAAGAGATTATGTTTTTCCATCTCAAGCGACGAAACATGTTTGATGTGCTAAAATCGGTAAATTCGACAAAAATTGAAGAAGAAGAAGCAGTTTCTGGTACATAGGATGTTTACTTTGATATGCTGGTATATGGATTTTACAGGCGCGGTAAATCAGAAAAACTGTGTGACGGCTTGGCAAATCTCATGTACACAGATAATAATCGTCACGAATTTCGGTATGTTTCATGTGCTGATTTTGGTATATTGGTAATGCTGTCATAATACGTAGCACAATAATCATACTGATTTTAGTACATGAAACGTACTGATGATCTTCTAGTACAACGCATGTACAATTTTTGGAATTTATGTTTGACTGGTACATTGGATACACACTTTTTGGATATGTTATGAGCTAGTGGTTTTTCATATAAGCCATATTTGGAACTATCCATATACTTTAACATCATTGACCATTTAATGTATTGTTTGGTCTAACAAATGTACCACCGCCATATTTTCCATAAATTTTGATCATGAACAAGGCAAAAATTGATGATTTTTTTGTAGAAGAAAATTATTTACAATGAAATAAAAATATAAAATTTTTTGAAAGATTTTGGGTCGGAAATCTGATGAGCAATCATATGTCCTCAGCAGGGGTCTGAGGGGTCCGATTACCTACCCCTGACGAAGTGTAACCCCTTGAAAATTTTCTAAGAATTCTTTCAATTCGCTAGGGATTTCCGCCAAAAAAGTGAAGAGCAAAAAAAAAAACGAAAAAAGTACACTTTTTGCAAAATACACTTCACTTTTTTGCTTACCCCTCTCGATTTTTTTCAATTAAACCCCCCTTAAATTTTTCCCTTGAGGACGTATGTGAGCAATAGAATATTGAATGAACCATTTTTGGTACTTCTTACACGCTAAAATCAGATGTACTTTTCAAATGGCGTGATATCATATCCATTTCTATATAGATCAAGAGCCACTCTAACAAGTAACTTTTTTTTTTGCTTTATGTCAGAAAACTATATTGAACCATGCAGCTAGACATACACTAAACAAATAATTTTACGTTTATTACTTCAGCCACCCACTTCGTGAAATCTGCACTATTATTCGCGGATAGAAAACACATCAATTAATAAAGCGAGCTGCATGTTTGATTTTCTGGAATATATTTTGTTTTTGCTCAAAGATTCTTCGATTAAAATTTCTGCATGAAATTCCGCATTGTTTACAAAATCTGCATGAATGAAAATTTCAGAAAATCACACATGCAGCTCGCTTTCTTAATTGATGTGTTTTCTATCGGCGAATAATAGTGCAGATTTAGCGAAGTGGGTGGCTGAAGTTATAAACGTAAAATTATTTGTTTAGTGTATGTCTAGCTGCATGGTTCAATATAGTTTTCTGATATAAAGCAAAAAAAAATTTACTTGTTAGATCGGCTCTTGATCCAATAGTATAAAATAAATTTTTATACATCGTAGAATTTGAAAAATAGTAGATACAATATGGAATTTTGGTCGCAGAAGAAATATAAGGGCGCGACCAAAATTCATAGAGTCGCGTAAACTTAGCGTAACCGCAGCGATTTAATATAAATTCCGGATCATTTTATTATTATTTCTGTATTTCTGACATTTTTTATATTTGCCAAAGGTTATACTATATATAGTATTACAAATATATTTGATTAATACTTAAAAATGTCATTTTGCCAATTCTTGTTAACAATTCTATTCCAAAATCTAATGCGTTCCTTAGAGGATATATGTATAGTTTCCAAACAAATTTCAATGGATCTGGTTTTATATACTTCCATTCAATAATATTTTTGACAACATAATGTGAACACAGGTTAAGTTTTTATTTCGTATTTCAAATTAAACACCTCATTTGGCAATATTTCAATTACAAAGGGAATTAGGTAATTTGATTTAAAAAATCAGCAAAAGATTTTTTTTTCAATTTAGTTTTCTTAGTTTTCGAAATTCGAACTTCGAATTTTCGCCTTTGATTTCAATCATTATAACATTTGACAGTTTATTGCTGTGAGTGTCAAAACGAAGTGATCATTTTTTGTTTACCTTATAGAATGTGGTTTTCGCGTCGTTGTTTTTAGTTCATACAGTAGAATTCTTTTTGTGATTCTTACGCAACCCATTAAGATTTAGAAAGAAACGGTGAATTTTTGTATTGTTTCTGCTTTGATTTTAAAATAACAGAAAATTTATAAATTTATATCAGCAATATATATCATTGTATCAGTGTGAAATAAAGTCGGATT